AAAGAGAAAGTTTTGGTGGTGCAGCAATTACTATTTTACACATGTTGCTCAAGAAAAACTTCTGTTTAGGTGACATTTCAGCAGAGTCCTAAATGAATTGAGAGAGCTAGCAGGTACACGAGGAAAAGGTTTTCCAGGCAGAGGGATGCGGAAGTGCAAAGCCCCTGAGTAGGAGCATGCTCGGCATGTTCAAGGAACAGCACAGAGGCTACTGATGCTGAGGCTGAATGAGCAAAAGGGAGAGTAGTAGGAAACGAAAGAAGAAACAAAAAAGAAGCTTAGCTCACATAGTAACAACCTATAGGATACTCGAAGGGCTTTCGCTTTTACTAAGTGAGAAGGGGAGATAAAAGGTTTTTGAAGAAAAGGTATTTTGTGATTTAAAAGGCTCACTCTAGCTGCTAAGTTGAGAAAAGACTATGGGCAGGGGCAGAAGTGGAAAGACCAATTGACAAACTATTATAATAATCTAGGCAAGAGATGATGGTGTCGGGCGGTCCCTGTGGCTCAGTGGGTAGGGTGCCAGCTTCATATACCGAGGGTGGCAGGTTTGAACTCGGCCCTGACCAAACTGCAATAAAAAAAGTAGAGTGTTGTGCGGGTGCCTGTGGTCCCAGCTACTTGGGAGGCTAAGGCAAGAGAACCACCTAAGTCCAGGAGTTGGAGGTTGCCATGAGCTGTGATCCTACAGCACTCTATAGAGAGTGATCGAGTGAGACTCTGTCTCTAAAAAAAAAAAAAAAGAGATGATGGTGTCTTGGATGAGGACTGTAGCAGTGAAGATAATGAAAAATGCTGAGATCCTTAATATCTTCTTATTTTTGGTGAGACAAGGTCTTCCTCTGTCACCTCTGCTAGAGTGCAGTGGCCAACATCATAGCTCACAGCAACCTCAAACTTCAGGGTTCAAGTGATCTTCCTGCTTTAGCCTCCCAAGTAGCTGGGACCACAGGCGCACTCTACCACACCCAGCTAACTTTTCCTCTTTTTAGTAGAGTCAAGGGTCTCATTCTTGCTCAGGCTGGTCTCAAACATCTGAGCTCAAGCAATCTTCCTGCCTCAGTCTCCCAGAGTGCTAGTATTAACAGGCATGAGCCACTATGCCTGGCCCTCATTTTGAGGAGAGGAATGACAGGATTTCCTGAAGGGTTGGATATGGTTATAAGAGAAAGTGACAAGATAAAGGATAAAGATGACTTCAAAGCAAGCAGAAGAATGAAATCATTTTTTTTTTTTTTGGAGACAGAGTCACTATGTCACCCTCAGTAGAGTGCCATTGTGTCTCAGCTCACAGCAACCTCCAACTCTTGGGCTTAAGCTATTCTCTTGCCTCAGCCTTCCAAGTAGCTGGGACTGCAGACACCCACCACAACACCCAGCTAGTAATCATTATTTATTGACATGAAAAAGACTATGTAAAAAGACCATGGTTAAAGGGGGAAATTTTTTGTTGTAGCCATGTTAAGTTTGAGATATCTAGAGAACATTCAAAAGCAGATGATTCAGCATAATACCCTACTTTAAAAGTCAAATGGTCAGGAGAAAGGACTGAACTAGTAGTATGAATTCTCTTGGGGAAGGGGGAGATGGGGGTGGTGCTCAATTGTCCAACCTGGAGTGCAGTGGCACAATCATAGCAAAGCAACCTTGAATTCCTGGGCTTAAACAATTCCCCTGTCTCACCCTCCCATCCAGCCTATACCATTTTTTTTCCTTTTTTTTTTTGCAGTTTTTGGCTGGAGCCGGGTTTGAACCCACCACCTCCAGTATATAGGGCTGGTGCCCTACTTCTTTGAGCCACAGGCACCACCCTTTTCTTTCTTTTTTTTTTTTTCTTGACAGTCTCATTCTGCCACCCTTGCTAGAGTGCTATAGCTCACAGCAACCTCAAACTCTTGGGCTCAAGCAATCCTCCTGCCTCAGCCTCCACAAGTAGCTAGGACTACAAGGTACCCACTACAATGCCTGGCTATTTTTAGAAAGGTAGTCTCACTCTTAATCAGGCTGGTCTGGAATTCCTGATCTCAGGCAATTCACAAGCCTCAGCCTCCCAGAGTACTTTAAAGTAGGATTACAGGCTCGGTGCCTATAGCTCAACCGGCTAAGGCGCCAGCCATGTACACCTAAGGTGGTGGGTTCGAATCCCCGGCCCGGACCTGCCAAACAACAAT